AGAGATTTATTCACTGAGATGGACTGCAGCTGTTTGTACTTAGATTTAACCTAGCAAATGCAATAGTTGAGGAAATTGGAGTTAGTTTGTAACTAACAAGTTGAAAATAAAGGGATATTTTAATTAACAGGGGATGGAGTGGTCTAAATAGGAATGTAATGTGGGACGAGCAGTACAATTATTCTAAATTATGACCTTTATTTAAGCCCAATAGTGAGACTTTTGGTGGGAGGGAATTAGTTTTATTTTATTTAAACTTTTTATTTTTAAAACTTTAATTTTGTATTTACAAACAATGTGGTTAAGGCCCTGTGGGACGTAAGTAAGCATCAGTCATAATTTCTGTTTACAAATATTGTGTGGTAGGCACCAATCCAAAGTTACATTTTCTGAAAATACCTGGATACATAGTCTATTGCTTAAGACATTTTCTTTTCAATCACATTGGAAGTCAGTAGTAATTAACCATCAGCTGATTGTCAGTAGAAATTATCATGGAAACTTTGCTGTCTTGCATCTTGTTAGTAGTTTTTCTTTCACAAGTTTTGGTTGAGCAACTCAGATTCTGCTGAATGTGGAAAAACTTGTCTAGACTTGAGCCTTATTGTTTGCATTATATACATAATTCTTTCTCTCTGTCTCTCTCTCTCTCTCTCTCTCTCTCTCTATATATATTTTTTTTTAGGCAGGGTCTCCCTCTGTTGCCCAGGCTGGAGTGCCATGGCACAGTCATAGCCCACTGCAGCCTCAAATTCCTGTGCTGAAGAAATCCTCCTGCCTCAGCCTCCCAAGTAGCTGGAACTACAAATGTACTCCACCATGCCTGGCTTCTTTTTTTTTTTTTTTTTTTAAAGACTATCCTACTTACAGAAATAAAAATTTCTTTTTTGTGGCGATAGGGTCTCCCTACATTGTCCAGGCTGGTCTCAAACTCCTGGGCTCAAGGGATCCTCCCACCTTGGCCTCCCAGAGTGCTGAGATTACAAGCATGAGCCACTGTGTCCCACCTTGAATGCATTGTATATTAAAAACTTTTGAGGAGGTTGGACTATATGAATATAGTTGAAAGAATAGAAATGTCTCGAAATTTATGAAAACCAGAATGAAAATTACCAGTTATTCTTTCAGGTGGTAACTTTTAGGGTTGAGGTACTGTCTTTGATGAATTATATTTTGGTCCAGTAAATTAGTTTGCAAGAGAAAGTATAAAACTAAATGTAGTTGAAGAAGCAGAAATTTTTAATTAAACAATGGATAATTAATACGTATATTCTGCTTTTATGCATTTAGCAGCTTGATATTTAGTATTAGGTATTTGCGATGATACTCAAATACGGCAGATGTCTAGCTGATAACTTTTTTTTTTTTTTGAGACGGAGTTTCACTCTTGTTGCCCAGGCTGGAGTGCAATGGCGTGATTTCGGCTCACTGCAAAACCTCCGCCTCCAGGTTCAAGTGATTCTCCTGCCTCAGCATCCTGAGTAGCTGGGACTACAGGCATGCGCCACCACACCTAGCTAATTTTGTGTTTTTAGTAGAGACGAGGTTTCTCCATGTTGGTCAGGCTGGTCTCGAACTCCCAACCTCAGGTGATCCACCCTCCTTGGCCTCCCAAAGTGCTGGGATTACAGGCATGAGCCACTGTGTCTGGCCTAGTTGAGATAACTTTTTAAAACATTCATGAATTTTGAGTTATTTTCAGATTAGAGTGCTTTTTTAATAGTGTTAACGTTAATTGGTTACATTAAGAAAAAAGTTCCCTTACTATCTTTATGACGGCATAAGGAGTTGAGATTGGTGAGATAATGAACATAATCATTAAAAGTGGAGGTCAAAAGGGAGGAAACCTAAACTTGAAAGTGCTGGAGTTGGCCAGGCATGGTGGCTTATGCCTGTAATCCCAGTACTTTGGGAGGCCAAGGCAAGTGGATCTTTTGAGTCCAGGAGTTTGAGACCCAGCCTGGGCAACATGGCAAAACCCCGTCTCTACAGAAAATACAAAAAATTAGCTGAGTGTGTTGGCATGTGCCTGTAGTTCCAGCTACTAGGGAAGCTGAGGTGGGAGGATCCTCTAAGCCTGGGAAGTCTAGGCTGCAGTGGGCCCTGTTTGTGCCGCTGCACTCCAGTCTGGGCGACAGTGAGACCCTGTCTCAAAAAAAGAAAGAAAGTACTGGAAGATTTTTTTTTTTTTTGAGACAAGTTCTGGCTCTATTGCCCTAGCTAGAGTATAGTGGCTCACAATCCAGGCTCACCGCAACGTCTGCCTCCCAGGCTCAAGCCATTCTCCCACCTCAGCCTCCTGAGTAGTTGGGACTACAGGCATACATCACCATGCCTAATTTTTTGTGTTAGTATTTAGTCATGTATTTTTTTGTATTTACTTTTTTTTCGTATGAGTGATTCAAAGGCCATTTCCTTAGCAAACATCCAGCCTTTTGTACTAAGAAGCAACAGTGAATGTATCCTGTTGATAGTAGACTATTAACCGAAACTGAAATTTGACTTCATATCCAGAATGGTGGACCTTGGAAACTAATACATCAAATAACCATCCTATGAAATTGAAAGTGCATTGCTTTTGTACATCACTTTAATAACTTTGACATTTTCTTCTGATAGCAAATAAAAGCATGTATATGTTTGCCATAGCACCTTTGACACCCTGTAGTTGACTTTTTAGTTAGAAATAACCACTCTTTGTGCTGCGTTGGATTCACTGTCTTCTGAATGATTTCTTGCTGAATCAGCTGACTGAGGAAGCCAGAAAGATACGCATTTGATAATGTACTCTGTCCAAGACTGTCCAGAGGCCAGCTTATATCCGCTCCTGTGGCAAGGAGGGAGTGTGTAATGGACTGTCTTTGCCCTCCTACCAGAGTGCAGTGAGCTTTTAGTTTTTACCGTTCTTTCCACTCGTACCACCACATCCCAGTCTCTTTAGTAAGGAATGGTCTTATTCCTTGGCCTTATTTTTGTATGTTTGATTTTCTAGTCCTGATGTCTAAATCAATTAACTAGTTTAGATAGATAAGAAGAAGTCTTAGTAGTCAAAAGTAGGAACGAATATAATGTTTCCTGAAATGCTGATACCAATTTTACAAAGGAAAAAATGTCTAGCTCAGATTCTATAAACCTGTGAACTCATTTTGAACTTTAAATTCAGATAGAAAATACCTTAAAACAACTTAACTGCCTGTTTCTCCATTGTTTTTGAAATTCTTAAGTGTAATACCACTTTGGGTGAAAAAGAATCTCCATGTATCTACTTAGTAAGTAAACTGCTGCCTATAGAAATCACAGGAAGCAAATTCATCTAATCAAGACCTATTCTCCAAAAAATCATGGAGTCATAAGTGAAAGTGTATGCCCTCCTTGCTTTGTTTTATTTTTATTTTATTTTATTTTATTTTTGAGACAGAGTCTCGATGTGTCGCCCAGGCTGGAGTGCAGTGGCGCACTCTCAGCCCTCTGCAACCTCTGTTTCCTGGGTTCAAGCTATTCTCATGCCTCAGGCCCACAAGTAGTTGGGATTACAGGCACCCACCACCATGCCTGGCTAATTTTTGTATTTTTATAGAGATGGGATTTTCACCATGTTAGCCAGACTGGTCTTGAACTCTTGGCCTCCCAAAATGCTGAGATTACAGGCGTGAGCTACCACGCCTGGCACTTGGTTTGGTTTTGACTCACAGTATGTCAGAATTATTAGTTTCCTAGTACCCCTGTTTATCTTTAGTGGGGTGGGTTTTTTGGTAGAGGGGTCTTTAACTTTGAACCAATCTGATGAATACAACTATTAAAGGTCATTTTAGTTTCTGTGTTCTGTATGGTGAAGTTTATAAACCCTGTGCCTCGTATGTTAAATGTTTTTCATATTGTCTAGGTCTGAGTCCTGAGGTCACACCCAGTCTTTGACGAAACGAAGTATATTCATTTTGTCCTTCCCTACCCACTAACAGCCTTTGTTGTTTTCATGTCTGATATATTACATTTTAATATCATAAATTGTTCATTTAGTTTAGGATTTATCTTTGAAGTTATTTTCTAAAGTAGTAAGATTGGCATAGCATTGATGGTAATTAATGCCTGTCATCAGTGCCAAGTGCATCTGTGATTAAAACTGCATGTTTAAGACAGGATACTGTATCTGTGCTAAGCAGATGATGTGTGAAAGTCATACAGGTAGAAACACACTGAAAAGAATAAATCGATTTTATTGATTGGTAACTGGTCAAGAACATGGGGTTCAACCCCCTGCCCCCATTCCTTTTAAAAAATCATATACCTTATTTTTCTTGCTTTATTTACTCTGAAGCCAAACTTCTTTGTGTTGAAAGCATAGTGGTATTCTGAATGTGTTTGCCTTGTTCATCTGACATTAAGTTCTTTGTCTTTCCAGTTGTCCTTATTGGAGATTCTGGTGTTGGAAAGAGTAATCTCCTGTCTCGATTTACTCGAAATGAGTTTAATCTGGAAAGCAAGAGCACCATTGGAGTAGAGTTTGCAACAAGAAGCATCCAGGTTGATGGAAAAACAATAAAGGCACAGATATGGGACACAGCAGGGCAAGAGCGATACCGAGCTATAACATCAGCGTAAGTCTCACAGTTTTTAAGTTCTGTGAAATGGGTTGCCAATGAGTGAATTAGCTGACTTTTTGTATTGGAAAAAGAACTCTTTTTTCCTTTTAAGAATTCTAGTATTAGGAATCCTTAGAAATTTATTTATAAGTATGTTTTTAAAACTCATAATCCATATTTTGAGTTCTTCCTGGTGTTTGCTTCCATCTTGTGGTTGTTTTCTGATACTAAATATGTTTCTGTTTTCAGATATTATCGTGGAGCTGTAGGTGCCTTATTGGTTTATGACATTGCTAAACATCTCACATATGAAAATGTAGAGCGATGGCTGAAAGAACTGAGAGATCATGCTGATAGTAACATTGTTATCATGCTCGTGGGCAATAAGAGTGATCTGCGTCATCTCAGGGCAGTTCCTACAGATGAAGCAAGAGCTTTTGCAGGTTAGTGATAGGAATTCCATGATATTTCTTACCATTGTGTCTTGTGGTTTTGATACCTTTCCCGTGAGAGTAATAGGTTATAATAGTTTCCGAAAGGTAAACATGAATGCTTAGCAAGAATTGTTTTGAAAGTTTGTGATGACTGTATAGCTTTTTTGCTTTGAGTCATTAAAACAGGAATATTATTCCACCAAAAAATGAATATAAACATTGTGTATCCTGTCTCTTTTTCTGTTATGTTTCTGTGTTTACAAAGGCTGCTGTACATGAGCTCTATGTGAGTGAAAGGTAGAGGCTCAGAGTGTCAGGGACCAATAGGGATGCAGCTGCTTAGAAGCTGTAACTTTTTGGCTTCATAAAGAATTCACATGTCTCTTGCCCCTGTTCTGGTAGGGACAGCATGCCAGAAGACAACATTGTGCATTTGTGGCTAGTGAAAGTCTTGCCTTTGCTCTAATGCTGATGCTGTGGATAACTTTCTGTAACAGTTTTTTTTGATTTCCCATGCAAGAATAGCTTTATTGTAAATAATATAGCTACAACATTCTGACTGGATATTATAGCCAATGTGGTTGATGGAGAGGATAGCAAGAGATGGAAATAGCTGGCCACTGGATACATTTTTACCACATTTTAAGTGGTGTCATTCATTACTAGTGAGTAGTATTTAGATGTAATAAGTATTTATTTTAATTAAGGAGCCAATTGACATTTTCTCACTTTTTTTTGTTTTTGTTTTTGTTTTTTTTTTGAGAGCCAGGATCTCACTCTGTCACCCATTCTGGAGTGGAGTGGCACAATCAAGGCTCACTGCAGCCTTGACCTCCTGGGCTCAAGCGATCTTCCACCTCAGCCTCCTAAGTAGCTGGGACTACGGGTGTGTGCCACCACGCTCAGCTAATTTTTTGTATTTTTTGTAGAGACAGGGTTTTGCCATTTTGCCCAGGCTGGTCTTGAACTCCTATGCTCAAGCAATCCGCCTGCCTTGGCCTGCCAGAGTCCTGGGATTACAGGAGTGAGCCACCATGCCCAGCCCTCTCACTATTATTTTTAATCTATTATTGTGTAAATATTAATGTGTAAGTAGGGTTGGGCATGGTGGCTCATGCCTGTAATCTCAGCATTTTGGGAGACTGAGGCAGGAGAAGTGCTTGAGGCCAGAAGTTCGAGACCAGGCTGGGCAACGTAGTGAGATCTGCATCTCTACTTAAAGAAATAATAAAGTAAGTAAGTAAATAAAGTGTAAATAGAGTGGTTCCCTTAATGTCTCATAAGTTGAGGAGGTCTTAGGTTTTAAAAAGTTCTGTTATTTTTCCTTTCGAGGGCTTGAATATACCCTATTCCTTGTTTTAAAACTTGACAATACTGACATTTTTGTGTCTCCCCACAGAAAAGAATGGTTTGTCGTTCATTGAGACTTCTGCTCTAGACTCTACAAACGTAGAAGCTGCTTTTCAGACCATTTTAACAGGTAAGACTTGCATTTTCAGATTACACCAGTAGGAACTAGAAGTTTTAGGAAGGTAATTTAAACAAACTAATCAGCAACTAAACTATGTATCAGCCAAGAATGACTATCATTTGAGAGCTACTCTAGCAAAAGCTGTTTAGAGTGCAAAATTAACTACAACCCTTGCTCACTGAGCTTCAGTTGTCCTAATTCATCTGATTTATAGTGGGAAAAATATTTGGAAAATAATTCATTCACTTCCATGATTTCTTCAGTTCAGGTATTACATTCTTCATGGTCACAAACACAAAGTAATGTTTAAATGTACTTTTATAAGGTAAATATTGAGATCCCAGCTATAGAAAGATACAAATGTCCTTTTGAAATTTAGTAAAGAAAAAGCTAGGGAAAAAACATATTTTTAAAAATTATAGTGACAAAATAAAATTCTTCTATGATACAGAAGAAAGGTATCACTTGTGTATTCTATATTGTGCCATGGGAGATAATTGGTAGATAAAATCAGCCAATGATTGCGTATAGAAAAGTTTTAAAAAGTAGTGGGAAAGAGATGGAGTTCATGCTGATTTGGAATGTGAATGACCAGGTCAGCCTCTGAGGTAAGAAGTGTTCACTCATATTTATCATGAAGCTATTAAAATAACCAGATTATTAGTGAGATAGTCTTAATCTTCTAATGAGTACTTTGATGGGTTGTTTTTAAATACTTTTAAATTATATATTACTTTTAAGAACTCATGATTTAAAATGTCTTAATATATAGTACAGTTTTACGTGGCGTTGTTCTAAAAACTCTATACAGGAGTATGATTAAATGGGTTTCCAATGACAATATAACAAGTTTTGATTTATTGTTCGTATGCAGCCCCTGTATTAGAGATTAACAGATTTTAACTTTAACATATTCTTTTACTGTAAAAATGTAAGTGTAAAGTCAAAGAGGTAAGATTTGGAAGCCTGACTTGGGTTCTAGTCCTGGCTCCTCCACTTACTATTAGTTCTACAATCTTAGGCAAGTTACCTCACCCTTCTAGGCCTTAATTTCTCCATCTATAAAATTCATACATATTTTGAGGAGTTTTGTTATTTCCTTTTTGAGAGAAGTCTTATATTTATAAAATCTTCTGATAGGATTTGACTTGACTTTTGTGACCTAAAGGTTTTTTTCTCAGTAACCCTTAGCAAAGAATGGTTTGTCACTGCCCTAGACTTAAAAAATGAGTACCTGTAAAGTACTTATCTATCCCTGGTATATAGAGAACAGTTGGTAAATTAGTAGCTAAATAGCAATTAAGGCATGAGAAAATTGGTGATTTATGTACCTATTTTATTATAATTGTTTTCTATCAGAATAGTGCTGGGGTTGGATAAACAGTCTTTGGAACACAGTAGCTTTCCTTTAGAACGTTCTCTGTCAAAGTTTACTGATTGTTTTAAGCAAGTAAGAGTTGATTAAATATGCAGTATGTCTGCAAGTCTTTGTTTTCTTTATATCCATTTGTGTGGATTTTATTAAGTCAACATGTAGAGTGCTAGATTGAGACCCAGGAGTTCTAGGGCATTACATCTTTATCACTTTGCTTCTACTCCCTGTTTAAAGTCATTGAACCTCCCTGCTCCTCAGAGTCATAGTCTTAAAACATGTGAATTAAATTACCTTAAAGATGTGTGAGCATTTTAAGGCCTCAGAAAATCTCATCTGAAAAAACTTTTTAGATGAGATTTTCTAAATTGTTGGAATATTTTTTATGTTATATCAAATCTCCTCTGCTATAATTCTGGCCCATTTATTCTGATATTAAGTGAAGATGAGCTCAAGTCTTCCATCTGCAGTTAAGTATTTTATGCATCATTTTGTAACATTGAACTTCTGATCCGCTCAAATGTGAACTAGTCAGTACTTAAAATTGAGCCCTTTTGTCTTTAAAGATGAGAGCCAGGCATGTTGATGCACGCCTGTAATCCCAGCATTTTGGGAGGCTGAGGCAGGCGGATCACTTGAGCTCAAACATCCTAACACCTGTAGAACAACACAGATGTCTGTTGCCACATGCAGTGATCTCAAAAGTTCAAAACCAGCCTGGGCAACATGGTGAAACCCTGTCTCTAAAAAAAAAAAGAAATATTATCTAGGCATGGTGGTGTGCGCACCTGTAGTCCCAGCTGAGGTGGGAGGATTGCTTCCGCCTGGGAGGTTTAGGCTGCAGTGAGCTGAGATCATGCCACTGCACTCCAGCTTTTGGGGCAGAGTGAGATCCTGTCTCAAAAAGAAAAAAAGATGAATATATGGTTACTTTTCTTAAAATTCACTCTAGATTGAACTTTTGTTACAGCTTAATTGTTGTTGAAAGCAAAGAAGACTTTAGTTTCACTTGCTACCACTTTTCCTTTCTATATTCACTATTTCCTCAGCTTCCTGCATAAATCTCACTGTTGGTTTGTAGGATCAGAGATGTGCAGCAGACATCTGTGTTGTTCTGCAGGTGTTAGGATGTTTGTTCTAAACATTCTTCCTCCTGTATGCCAGTGGAAGTGTGAATGCATAGAGAAAACAGTAAAGAGAATAGTAACTATTGCACTTGATTCTGCCTTAAATGTTAACAGTCTTAAGGGAGTATTTACGTTGTATTTTGATATTGCTGAAAGAAAAAAAAGCTTTAAAATTTTTAAAAATTGAGATGGGGCCCAGTCTGATCTTGAATTCCTGAGCTCAAGCCATCTGCTTGCCTTGGCCTCCCAAAGTGCTGGGATTATAGGCATGAGCCACCACGCCCAGCCAAAAATTTAAGTTGTGAAATTATATATCAGAAAATTTACATGTTACTTCAGAGTTAATTGTGTTGTTGGTTTCAGAATAGACCCATGGCATTCTTGACACCCATGAATTTGAAAGTGACTCCATGAGATGATTTTGCTTGATGGTATTTTTTAGAGGTGGTTTACTAGTATGAGAGTGAGACTGGTAGATTGCTCTGCCTTTGAATTTCAGTGCAGCTTTGTCTTTTCTCAGGTTCACTAAAGGATGTTTTTAATGCATACCTTTTACTTTTTGCTTTTAACTTTGCATTTTCACAATTTCAAATTTAAAGAGATTAAAATAATAGTAAAAAGAATTTGCAAATATCCTTCACCCATATTCTACAGATGTTAATATTTTACCACATCTGCTTTATCCTTTCTCTTCTCTCTAAATATATACATATTTTTTTCGGCACCATGTGAGATTAAGTGGCAGACATGATGACCCTCATCCTTGAGTGTTTTTCAGTGTATATTTTGTAAAAACAAGGATATTCTCTTTTATAGCTACAGTATAATTATCAAAATCAGAGAGATAATAGTGCCACATCAATGTTTAATTACAGACCTTATTCAGATTTTCCCACTTGTTCCAATAATACCCTTATTAGTCAAAGTCCAAGATAAGGTCATGCATTTCATTTAGCAGTCATATCTCTTTAGTCTCCTCTAATCTCGAACAGTTCCTCAATCTTTTGTTTATTGACCTTGACATTTTTGAAGGGTACAATCCAGTTACTTTGTTGTGTACCTCATTTTGGGTTTTTCTGATTTTTTTCCTCACGATTAAACTCAGGTTATACACTTTTGGCAGGAACACCACAGAAGTGTTCTCAGTGCACCATATCAGCAGGTTTGTGATAATTGGATGTCTTATTAATTACCAGTGATGTTAACTTTTACCACTTGGTTAAGGTGATGTCTGCTAGATTTCTCCATGTAATTAATATGTTCAGGATGTCTTTTTAGTATAAAGGCTATATTCTTTTTTTTTTTCCCCTGAGTCTTGCTGTGTCAGGCAAGAAGACTACCTCCTAGGTTCAAGCAATTCTCATGTCTCAGCCTCCCGGGTAGCTGGGATCATAGGCCTGAGCCACCATGTCCTTCTAGTTTTGTATTTTAAGTACAGATGAGTTTTTACCATGTTGCAGGCTGGTCTCTAACTCCTGGCCTCGTGTGATCCACCTGCCTTGGCCTCCTAAAGTGCTGAGATTACAGGTGTGAGCCACTGCCCTGCCTTACTCTACTTTTGGTATATCAGAAAATTTCCATTAAAAAATGTTAAAGAAAGAGAGATGCATTAACTGAATTACTACATTTTTCAATATTAAGAACTAATTTCTCAGAAGTTGAAAAACAGTAAGATGTAGTCAACTGAATATGTAAAGTAACAAAAACAGACAGCAAGAGTATCTTTTCTTAGATTCTTTTGTGGGGAAAGGGGAGTGGCTAAAATTTATGTCTGAGAAGGTTGACGGTTCAAATGTGAACAGGCATTAAGGAAAGACAACTAGGATACAATAAAGACAGGCTACTAAAATTAAAATTTAAAAAAAGGATATGTAATCTTTATAGATTTTGTTTCAATGAAAAAGGATGGGATGGGAGTGTGCCAAGGCTAAAGAGAAGGATTTACCCTTCGGTCATTCAGTCAGATGAGTGGCTAAGGAATAAAGAATTAACTTCATCTTTAAGCTTTCCCTCTGATCTCAAACTGGGAGGCTCTTCTTTTTTCAAGTGTAAATTGTGTGTGTAAATTAAGATGAAATATGTGACCCACTGTAAGTTTTAACTTCTTTATAAATTGTTTTAAAGATTAAATTAGGCCGGGCGCGGTGGCTCAAACCTGTAATCCCAGCACTTTGGGAGGCCGAGACGGGCGGATCACGAGGTCAGGAGATGGAGACCATCCTGGCTAACATGGTGAAACCCCGTCT